TCAACGGGGATGGTAGTGAAGGGCGCCGAAGGAGTGAGAAATTCAGTGTTGAAGAAGGGGATACCGGAATTGGGTATCGCCTTGCGAGTGTCCTTCATCAGCTTGAGCAGCTCCATAAAGTCGGAGTCTGAACTAGCCATCAGGCTGATGGGGCATAATGAGGTGAACCATCCGACAGTCTCGTCGATGTTGAAGTCCTCGTTCTTGGTTTGACGCCCATGCTCCTGAGTCCATAAGGTCGGTGCCTCGCGATCAAGGAATGTCTGGCAGAACGAGAGAAGCAAGGCCGTCAGAAGCAGGTCTGCCGGTTCTGTACGAAACACTTGGCGACAAGCTGTCCGCAACGAGTGCGTCAACTCCGAGTTAAGGGCAAAGGAAAACTGCTGTGTGTTGCCGTACACATTGCCGTCAAGATCCAGGTCCCAGTAGCCAAGACTCGGCGGTGAGATCTCGAAAGGAAGCTTGGGCTGCACCAACCGATGGCTCATTTCATAGCCCTGGTACTCTATCCAGTTCGAGAAGGGAATCGATGGATTAGATAGCAGAGTCCCCTCACGTAGGAGCTCGTCCATGTCATGAATCACAATCCGCCAGGAGACCAGGTCAATAGCCAAGTGATGGGCTACAAGAAAGATGAATTGCTGATTATCACCCGCCCTGATGTGCTCGGCAGAGAAGATAGGGCCGTTGATCGGGTTGATGGCCGCATGGGCGCGTTCCACAACGCCAGTAATCTCTTTTTCGTCCGTGACCTGATGATGACCGTATCGATAGGTGTTCCGTGACTCGGGAAGGATGACTTGAGCCCAACCCTCACGCGTCAAGCGAAATCGAGACCGGAGCATAGAATGGCGATTCACCAACGCTTCGACAGCGGCTTCAATGTCGGGTGATTCCGAGTCAGCTTTGACACGAAGAAGAACACTCTGGCTGAATCGGTATCCTGGTTCGGTGATCGATTCGGGCTTGGGATTGAGGTTCATGGAGGTGCGGAAGAAAAGCTGCTGCATGGCAGAGAGAGGGAAGAACTCCACATCATCGGGAGTGTCTGCCATCTGCTCGTGAACCTCGAGACGACCAGACTCATCTTCTACCCACATCGAGAAGGTCTTTTCAGGTCGCGTGGTCGATAGTCGATTCTGGATGATGAGCGAGTCCTGCTGGGAATACGACGGGGGATGAATTTTGAGACCCATGGAGTCGCGCACCCCAGGTCTGGCAATCTTTGCCGCCGCCGGTACTGCTTTAGCCTGTTGCAGGGCGATTTCGATCTCTTCTTCGGGCTCATCCTCCTCGGGGATTGGCTCGGGCTTGAAGACAATAATGTCTGGCTGTCCTCTGGACGCCTGACGCATAAGCTTGTCGGTGAGAAGCGCCTGTGGTTCGGGTTGATGTGCCTGTTCCAGTTGGGGCATTTCAGAGATCGCAGGCTGTTCACTGCTAGGAGCTGCGAGCTGTTCCTGGGCTAGAGGTGGTAGCGTAACCGGCGCTTCTTGCTGCGTCTGTTCTTCAATTTGCGACTCTCCTTTCGGCTGTCGGTCCAAGAGCTGCAGACTGAGCAGACGTTGAAGGCTCAGGACGCGTTGCTCAACGTCCTCCGTCAAGTTCCTCAGCCACCACTGTAATGCTCGGGTCGCAGGCTTGCCATTACTTTTAGTGATCATTGAGTGCAGAGGGACCCATACGTCAGGCCAAGGCACACTTCCGCCCCATTCTCGCAGAGCCGTGTAAAACCTTTTGATTCTTCCTTCAACCGCTTCGTAATCGCGTTCGGGGGGCAGTGAGATACCCTCGGCTTCACTGACGGACTGGTTGCGGGTGCTGACAAAGGCAACGAGTTGGTGCTCAAAGGGGCCGGCTGATGCTCTGACAAGACAGAAGTACTCGCCGCGAGCCACTGAGCATAGAAACTGCACAAGCTCTGTGGCATCGTCGAGATCGATTTGAACATTGTTGGAGGGCTCTTTGCCGAGAGCCTTTTCAGATTTCGGCTCTTCGACCTGCTGATGAGCGCCCTGTCCTTCCCGGAGGGTCGCATCCTTCCAAACGTCAATATCTGGAGGTGGCCCATAGATAGATTCTTGGGTTTCCCGTCCCTTGGTAGGCGTGAAGACCCGTTCCGGCTCGTTAAGTGACGCTGCCGTATCAGCCGAGGTTCTTTCCGATGTGTCTTGCGAGGAACTCGAAGCTGAGTCGTGTATCGAGGTTGTGTGCGCCTGTAGCTCGGCCAATGTCTTGCAGCGCAGAATATCCTCGCAGCTTATTCTGACACCGTAACGCAGCATGCGCTGCTCCAACTTCGTTGCCAACTCCTTGTTGCCTCCCAAATCGGCGAAAGAGTCGCAGAGCAAGATGTCGCTTTGAGGAATCTCCAATGTCTTTGATATACCAACGAGCAGGCAATCTGAATTTGACTCGCTTGGTGGGATTTCGGTGGGAACCCTGTCAGGCCGTGGCCGTGTTGGGTGAGCCATAGCTGGCGTCTCTGTGCTATTTGGACTCGAGGTCCGTGGCCGATGCGAAACTTTCACAAGGTCTTTAGCATGCTCTAGCCAGTTCCACCCACTTGAGCGATCGCCGGTTTGACGAAGACCTTATTATAGGTTTTTATCTGCAACCAGGCAGACAAGTCGTGGACAAGGGGAGAAGCGAGATGCGATCGATCAAGAGAGACGCTTGCAGCTCGATGTAAGGACTCCAGATCTCTCACGAGGCGCAGCTCTATTTGGCAGACGATTTGCGAAACGCTTCTTCAGGTTCTTGCAAGGCCGATAATGGGAAGCACGAGCACTGGTGTATGAGAGCGGCTCGCTGTGTGTATACAGAGCATATCACAGTGTCTGTTCTTAGGGAATGAAAAGGATTGAAGCAATCATTAGAAGGGAATCGAAGCAATCTGCCCGACAGGGATTGCGGTGGCCGCTGAGGCCCCATCGCTCCTATGTAAGAGATCCGGTGGCTCATGTCAGGTTGATGACGTTGCTGACGCTGGGAGGGATCTTGTGCAAGCCATGTTCATGGTGAAGATGGCCCGCTAGGAGCCAGCAGTCTTGTGTGCCAGCCACATTGGCCAGTACAGCCCCAGCATCCTTGACTCCAGACGGCGATGCTGGACTGGACTGCTGCACGAGGTGGTGGTGCTATTAGCAGCTCCGGCCCGCTTCGAGCCGGGGGTTGCAGGCATGGTAAGAGCCTCGGAGCACTCGTGGGCCGATACAGCGTCTTTGCGACGCATCTCGACGCAAAGCAATCAGATCGCTCGATGGATTGGTCTTGTGGGATGCGACGTTGGTACCGAAGATTGCCTGACTGGGGCTAGCCAGCAAGAGACTTACGTGTGAGCAGTCATATGCGACGCGCCAGGGCTGTGAGCTGGGGGGCGGAGGGGTAATTGTCGAAGCTGATCAGCAAAGGGTTTGAAGTTGGGCTAGCTGACAGGCCTAGTGATGTGAGCCTTGTGATGGCGAACAGAGAGTGAAGCGAAGCGGATTGGAGTGAAGCTGCTGCCGCTGCCGCTGAAGGATTCTTTCCATGCGCCTTGTGACGGAAAGTGCCACCCACTCCATACGCAATGACGTAGCGTAGGTGCTTACTTAATGCCCCTTTGAACTGAATTGACCTATTATCTAAACCTTCAAGCGTTTGCAGATCATCTGGCAGACATCCCTCTCGTAACGCTCATTCAAAGTGCAAGTCCGATTGACAACCAGACAGCGCCCCCGAATAAATGTCGGGTACGTGGCCCGCAAGGATTACTAAGACGAACACAAAGAATTAGCGACCCTCGATCGCCCTACAGCTGCCAGACGACGGCACAGGCTTCGCACTTAGTATTCGCAGCTAGCTTAGTGATGACCGAATTAGAGACAGGACATTGGGAGTAGACCTTCTGTCTCTGACGATCAGGTTAGCGGCTACCTCTATCATGAACGGGCAATTTGTGAGGTACAGGGTAAGGCGATCGCTTAAAGATTAACTTAACTTAACTAGTTAAGTTACGCACAGTCTTCGTGGTGTCATACAATTTTCTTGTGATCATGTACGAAAGTCTCAAGGCATACCTGGGTTGACGGGAATCGGAAAATGCATATGTTTCCTCACTTACTCGGGGTTGAACTTTGTGAAATGCATTTGGGACATGCTCTTCTGTTCACTACTCACTCTGCCCGCATGGTCTATAGCGAGCATATAGACAATGGTTCACCACTAAAATGCAGTCGACCTTTTCTTCCGTTGTCTTGAGACACTGCCTTCCCCAATGCAATTGCAATCGAATTGCTCCCTTTCTATTACCATTTTCGGAAACCCTTTCAGCTGTTCCCGCCAACGAACGGACGTCGCTAGTCAGCTTCGACGCAACCACTTGAACAAGCCAAGGATGCCACGAGGCTACGTATGCTGCAGGATCCACGAGGCCTCTCCTGTCGATCTGAGCGAGACAATGGAAGCTTGTGCCGGGTACACCTCTCGCTCCAACAAAGGGGTGCGTGCTTGTGTAATTATCATCCTCCGATCTGAGGCTGCGGCCGTCGTTTCCCAATCACCTAGGACAGATTTGAGTATACAGCACGATACGAGTTGGCAGGATACTTTACTCTGAGGCAAATCCCGACATATATGGCCAGCGTGAACGCAAATAAGGCTCGGACAGCCATGTTGTGCGTACCTTAACCAAAGATCGAGGGACGAGGGTAGCCCATTGTGTATGTGCGGACATTGGGTTCTCCTCCTTGAGTGAGGGGCAGCAGATATAATATCACCTCAGATGGAGATCACGCAAAGCCAAGCAGTATTCCATACTTCTACAGTCCGATACCCGGTGGACACATTTCAACGACGTTGTTGTGCCCAACAGGTACGGAGGATATGTATAGTATACATCTCTCCATTCATCATAGCATCCGTCCTGTCTGTTCAAACGGCATTACGGATCCATCATCGTCTAATGCATTGCCTACGTATTCCAACAGCACCCAAGCCCAGCCATGCATATATAAACCTCAGACCTTGACGGGTTCGTCGTCATCGGGATCCTCAATGCTAGTCCTCCGCTTCGCTTCTTTGACCTCAACGGCAGCCGAGGGGGCAGCCTCGGACTCTGGCTTCTTTTCGAACAGTGATTCACCTCCCGACTGTGGTTCGTTCGGGGCTGCTTGCTCTGACCTGGTGCTGAACGGCCAGAGTCCACTAAGACTCCGATTGCCGTCTTTAGCAGGGTTGACTGCTAGCGGCCTTAAGACAACGTTCTCGTCGGGCTTCTCGTCATTATCCTCGGCCATAGCAAAATCTCCAAATTCATCGTCGTTGTCTTCTTCCAGGTTGCGCTCCTCTTCGCTGGCTTTCCTTCGCACGACTCCTCGCCACCAGGAATCCCGCCCGTCTTCTCGAAGTATATCGTCATCATCGTCAAGGTCGTCTTCCCCATCGGCAAAGGGATCTTTGAGGTCATCATCGTCATCGTCGCCACCCTCCTTGTCACCGTGATGGGAAGCAGATGAGGGCTCTGCAGTCTCGTTGTTCTTCTGATGCAGCGCAAGCCTTGCAGCTAGCTGCCTCCTAGCTCTGGAGGGAGGTATGTTCAGAGGAGGCGGTGGCGGGGGCGGGGGAGGTATTGAAGGAGGCGCAAGCGAGCTGTCAGCGTTGCTAGGGTCTGTGTATGCGCGAAACTGTGAGGACGACATCAGCATCTCAATCCCACGAGTGTAGAGAAAAAAAGGAGATGAGAGCCACGGCGCGAGCGAGAACACCAGGGACATGCTTGCACCAGCGTCGCGGCACGTCAGAATATAAAAGATGCCCCATCGCCATTCAACGCAACAAACAACAACGCCAGCTTCGAACCTCCACACCAGCCCAGCTCAAGCCGTCCACCTCAATCGTGGGCATTGCCGAGGAGTCGCGATATGATCCTGGGGTCCAGATCGCCAAATTCCTCGAGCTCCTCGTCCAGCTCTGGACCCACCGCATTGGGCAATGCCACGCCAACATCAGCTTCCATCTCGATGGCTCTACCGCGCTAAAATAGAGAATCTTGCGACACTGTGTCTCCGGCAATACGCGCGCTCAGACCAGGTGAGTGAGGGGGTGACTCCATCACCACGTCCACATCGGTACGAGTCGTGTCTGGGGAATCCACGACGACCTCAGGCGACAGCATGACAGCATCGTCCGAGGGCACCTTCGACTCACCGGACTTGGGAGACTCTAGCTCTTGCTCTCGCTCTTCTCGCTCTTCTCGCTCTTCTCGCTCTTCTCGCTCTTCTCGCTCTTCTCGCTCTTCTCGCTCTTCTCG